TCAGAGATCAACAATAGATACGGATTGCTGGGCGTTCGTCTTACCGACCGTCAAACGGAACTGGACAACGTGAGGGACGAGTTGAGGAGGCATATGGACAACTTGAAGACGCTTTCTCAGTTCTTAGAGAAGGTAGCGTATATTGACTTAAAGATTAACTCTATAAGATTAAATCTATAAAGAAATGTTTACGTTTACAGATTCAGAGACAAATACCTAAAGAGACTATGCCAAGCACGAAAGAGGAGGCAGACAAGACAGCCAAGCAGATCAAGATCGTTATTGAGGAGATGTACGAAAAACAATCGCTACTAGACACCACCAGAACTCAAGTACGTGACTTGGTTAGACGTAAAAAGGGAGCAGATGGCGTAGACAGATTGAATGACGAGATGGAAGATGTTACCAGCCAATGGAGATCCTTTAGCGAACGTTGCAAGAATAGAATAAAGTTCTTGGATGACGTGAAAGACTTCTATGATACATCTGAGGGTCTGGCGTCGTGGTTAGGATCTAAGGAAAGAATGTTGAGTGCTTTGGGACCTATTTCTGCTGATCCCAGAATGGTAGCCAGTCAAGTTCAACAGGTTCAAGTTTTGAGAGAAGAATTCCGTACTCAGCAACCTCAGTTGGATCACTTGATTCAAGTTGGAGAGAATATCTTGGGAGTCATAGGAACTGACTCCACTGATGGCCAAAGAACAAATAGCAAATTAAGATCCATTTTGGACAAATGGTCTGACCAATTGGCTCGTTTAGACGAGAGGGCGCAAAGTTTGGGTGACGCAGTTGACACCAGCCGCGAATTTGACGCAAGTTTGAACCGTCTGCGTGACGCTTTGCAAGCAATTTCAGATAATCTCGATGAATTGACTCTTGAAAAAGATCCTGAAGATCAATTGCGCAAGATTGAGAATCTTGAGAGGCAACTGGAAGGTCAAAGACCTTTGTTGGCCGATGCTGAGGCAGCTGGAGACCAATTGTGCGAAGTTCTGAGTGATCCAGCTTCTAAATCTGAGATTCATGGAAAATTGGCTGCAGTTGGAAAAATGTACAACAACTTGCAAAAGAAATTGGACCACAAGAAGGCTGAGATAGAGGGCAATCTGCGAGATGGAAGACAGTTTGAAGCCTCCTGTACCAAAACCTTGGGTTGGCTCGCTGATGAACTTGGAAACATGTCCGAGAAGCTTTTGGTATCCGCTGACAAGGATGTCTTGCAACAACAACTCGACCACCATGAGGTAAGAGCTTTATTAATTTTAATAAGGGTTCAAAATGTTTTTAATATAAGAAGTATGTTAAAAAATAAATTTCTTTTTTGTTTACAGCCCATATATAGAAACGTAATGGGCAAAGAGCACGAAGTCATTATGCTCCTGAACAAGGGTCGAGACATGTTGACGCGATCTCAGAAGACCGAGAACCGATCTCTGCAGCGTGATTTAGACAAGATGCAATCACAATGGGATCGTCTGAAGAAGGACATGCTCGACAGACACACCAAACTGCAGACATGTGCGGAACATTGTAAGAAGTACTACAAAGCCCAAGACGCATTCTTACCATGGCTACGACAAGCTGAAGATAGACTCGAGTGCCTGAAACCAGCTTCTTTCAAACGTAAAGACATAGAGAAACAATTGAAAGAATTATCCTCATTCAGAAACGAGGTCTGGAAGCACTCTGGAGAATTTGAAAATAACAAGACTCTTGGAGAGACCTTCCTTGGAGCTTGTGATATAGATAAACAGAATGTTAAGAATGAGCTTGGTGCCATGAAGACCAGGTGGGACAAATTGAACAATGGTAAGTTTAATCAATCAATCATTCTTTTATTGCATGTTTTTCATTGTTGAATTAATGTACACGAATGGTTTAATGAATGTTACAGATCTGATAGCAAGGACACAGTCTCTGGAGGATACTGCAAGGCACTTAATGGACTTCAATGAAAATCTACGAGAACTACGCCACGGCTTGCAGCGTTGTGAGGATAAATTGGCGTCCCATGATGCCCTCGGTGGAGCGGCCAAAGACCCGAAGCTTCTCGATAGGATAAAGGTTTTTAATTGATCTACTGAAAGAACTATATAACATTGCAAAAATCACTCGATACTCAATGTGCAAGTGACATTTTTTATTACAGAGTTTACGAGAAGAGACGACGAACCTGAAGAAGCCTTTACAATGCGTGAAACAACAGGCCAACGACCTGATGAACAAGGCTGGCGAGCAAGGAGTGGATGCAACGCACTTACAAGATGAAGTAGACAACCTGACCGATAGAATCAACGATCTACAATCTAAATTGGATGACAGATGCAACGAACTACAGAGCGCGGCTACTGCGGTTGCACAGTTCAACGATCACGTCAAGACAATTAGTCAACAGATCACCAGTATCGAGAAGGAGATGGACTCGATGAAAGCAGCAAGCAGAGAAATCAAGATCGTACGAATCCAGATAGAAGAGACAACGAAGGTAACGGTCAAGGTGACTCGTCTGTACGAGGAAGTTACTGACTTAGAAGGTCTTGGAGAACGTTTGGTCGATTATGGTTTCGCGGCTGATGCTGTGGCGACCAGAGAACAGGTTGCTGGGCTGAAACGACAGGTTGGAAAGCTGGATGATCGGTCTAGAGACCGTTACGACGAACTTACTACCACTCTGAACAAGTTACAAGAGTTCTATCAAGCGCACACGAGAGTCATGAGTGACATTGAGGATGCCAATGATCATGTAAGGAAGTTCAAACCTGTTGGATCTGAAGTGGAATCCATTAAGGCTCAACAAGAGGACTTCAGATTGTTGAAGATGAATAAGATCGAACCATTGGCTCGTTCTGTTGAGGAGTGTAATTCTCTTGGTCAGGCGTTAATACAGACGGCTGGTCGTGACGTTAACACTGGAAATATCGAGAAGGATGTTGATAGAATGAACGAGAGATGGAACGATCTGAAGGACAGACTCAACGAACGAGATAGAAGATTGGACGTGGGATTGCTCCAGTCTGGAAAGTTCCAGGAGGCTCTGGAAGGTCTCCAGAAATGGCTGACAGACACAGAAGAAATGGTGTCCAATCAGAAACCACCATCATCTGACTATAAGGTAGTCAAAGCACAATTACAGGAGCAGAAATTCCTGAAGAAGATGCTAATGGACAGACAAAATTCAATGTCCTCTTTGTACAACATGGGCCAGGAAGTGGCTGCTGGAGCAGATCCTAAGGAAAGAAAGATGATCGAGAAACAATTGAAAGAATTAGTGGGAAGGTTCGATAATCTGACAGAGAGTGCAGCTGAGAGAATGGAGGCTCTTGAACAAGCAATGGGAGTGGCCAAACAGTTCCAAGACAAACTGGTACCACTTGCAATCTGGTTAGACAAGACTGAGAAACGAGTCAGAGACATGGAGCTTGTTCCAACTGATGAGGAGAAGATCCAGCAACGTGTTGCAGAACACGATGCCCTTCACGAAGACATTCTATCAAGGAAACCAGATTTCAGTGAACTCACAGAGATTGCTAGTCAACTTATGGCTCTGGTGGGCGAAGATGAAGCTGCTCTACTGGCTGATAAGCTTCAGGATGCAGCTGACAGGTATGCTGCTTTGGTTGAAAGGTCAGAGGCACTTGGTAGCTTACTCCAAAGATCAAGACAGGGTTTACGTCACCTGGTCCTCAGTTACCAAGAGCTTCAAGCCTGGATGGAGGGCATGGAGATCAGATTGTCCAAGTACAGAGTCCTTGCAGTGCATACAGAGAAGCTTCTCCAGCAAATGGAAGATCTTGCTGATTTGACCGAGGAGGTTTCCACTCGGCAAACCGAAGTAGACAGTACCACAGACGCTGGATTGGAATTAATGAAGCACATCTCCAGCGATGAAGCTCTTCAATTGAAAGACAAACTCGATTCCTTACAGCGAAGATTCAACGATTTGGTCAGTCGTGGTTCTGACTTGCTGAAACACGCCCAAGAGTCTTTACCACTTGTCCAACAATTCCACGACAACCATAATCGTCTGATGGACTGGATGCAGGCTGCAGAATCAGCTCTGCAATCTGCCGAACCACGCGAAGACGAGATTGTGCGATTAGAAATGGAGATATCAGAATATAGACCAGTTTTAGATAAAATCAACGCAGTAGGACCACAGTTGTCTCAATTGTCGCCAGGTGAAGGCGCCGCTACTATTGAAGGTCTAGTCACCAGAGACAACAGGCGATTCGACGCAATTGCTGAACAAATTCAACGAAAGGCTGAAAGAATTCAGCTTAGCAAACAACGTTCTCTGGAAGTTATCGGTGACATTGACGATCTACTAGAGTGGTTCCGTGAAGTGGATAATCAACTGAGAGAGGCAGAACCACCAAGCAGCGAACCAGAAATCATCAGAGTCCAACTGAAGGAACACAAAGCCCTCAACGACGACATATCCAGTCAGAAAGGTCGTGTAAGAGACGTTATATCAACAGCAAAGAAGGTTATCCGTGAAAATGGCCAACACGAGGACACCTCAACCATCCGAGAGAAAATGGACGACCTCAGAGAAACCATGGAAATTGTCTCTGGTCTATCAGCAGACAGACTTGGAGCTCTGGAACAGGCCTTACCATTGGCTGAACATCTACGCGACACGCACATTGGTTTAGTGAGCTGGTTAGAAGAAGCTGAACAGCAAGTAGCCATGCTTCCTATGCCTGCTTTAAGACCTGACCTAATAGCTGCCCAACAGGACAAGAACGAGATGCTGATGCAGAGTATCAACGAGCACAAACCATTAGTAGAAAAATTGAACAAGACCGGTGAAGCTTTATTGAAGCTTTGCAACGAAGAAGAAGGTATCAAAATACAGGATATTCTTGAAGCAGACACTGCTAGGTATGCAGCCCTCAGAGCAGAACTTCGAAGTCGTCAACAGACCCTGGAACAGGCTCTCCAGGAGTCCTCACAATTCTCCGATAAACTCGAAGGAATGTTACGTGCTCTTTCATCCACAGCTGATCAAGTTAACGGCGCAGAACCTATCAGCGCTCATCCAGGTCGTTTGAGGGATCAAATGGAGGAGAACTGTGCTTTGATAGACGAATTAGCTCACAGATCAGAAGCTTACGCAGCTGTGAGGAGAGCAGCTGACGATGTGATCAGCAAAGCAGGTAACAGAGCTGATCCAGCTGTGAAAGACATCAAACGGAAGTTGGAGAAACTCAACAAATTATGGAGCGACGTGCAGAAAGCTACCAACGATAGAGGACACACTCTCGACGATGCTCTGGCTATTGCAGAGAAGTTCTGGTCAGAATTGAACGGAGTAATGTCGACTCTGAGAGAGCTTCAAGATGCTCTAGCAGGTCAGGCACCTCCAGCAGCTCAGCCAGCCGCTATCCAACAGCAACAAGTGGCTCTGCAGGAGATCAGACACGAGATTGATCAGACTAAACCGGACGTCGAGCAAGTTAGGGCTTCTGGTCACGAGTTGATGGGTCTGTGTGGTGAACCAGACAAACCAGAAGTGAGGAAACACATCGAGGACTTGGATCAAGCATGGGACAATGTTACTGCTCTGTATGCCAGGCGAGAGGAGAACCTGATAGACGCCATGGAGAAAGCCATGGAGTTCCACGAGACTCTGCACGATTTGTTAGAATTTTTACAGGAAGCTGAGGAGAAGTTCGCCAGAATGGGACCACTTGGAAGTGACATCGACGAAGTTAAGAAACAGATCAAACAATTGGCCAATTTCAAAGCTGAAGTAGATCCTCACATGGTCAAGGTCGAAGCTCTGAACAGGTAATCAGATGCGATTCTTCCCTCTATCTGTGGTTGGTCCCCTCAATTTTTTTCTTTTTTTTTTTTTCTCTTTGAGATTTTCTCACCGAAAGTTTGACACGTTCCTCATGAACGTTGTGCTCCACACAACAGGAGACTACTAAATGTTCCCAATTCACCTGTGAACAGTTGTATCTGTCCGTCTCTCGCCCCTCGCGTCGTTAATATTGTTCAGTTGTTGTACCAATAACCGAAGACAGCCACTATATGGTTATTAAAACAGCGAGATTTCTAATCCCAAATTTTTGTTTTTTCCGCGCCGGTTCCTGAACGCATAGGAGTCTGACAAGGCAAGTCAACCTCTCTCTGTGTTGTTGCAGTAGTTAGAGCATGGCTTAAAAAAACACTCTATACAAACATTTTTTCTCTTATTACATGATCACACCTTCGAGTATAGATAATATATAGATCCAGGTTTACCGGAATGGAATTTACCGCCCTTCATAAGCCCACTTAATCACACATAACGTCCGTAACAAGTGTCGTAATACCCCCCAAGTTAAGGTCAAATAATTGGAATCGCTAACTGTCTGACATCTTGGTTGGAGTTTCGAACAGTGTTTGATCGACGGACGTACATGTACTTTTTTGCCTGCATGTCTGGCTGCCTTGGCTGTTGCCTGGCTCGTGACGTGCCTGTTCTACTTACAAAACACCGTATCGTAGGTACTTGGCCGGGGACTCGAGGAGTTCACGGCTTTCCTGGCGAATTATAGTAAGGAGCAGCTCTGTCGATGTCTTCAAGATCGAATGCCACTTCTTTTTTTTTTCTTTAAAAAAACGCCGTAGGAAACGTAGAAGTAAGGATAGAGAGTCCTTGAGACAACTGGATGTCACAGTTTTTTTTTTTTGTTTTTTAAATTAAACGATGGGATCTTGATGGCGATCAAAGAGTGGCTCCTCAAAATAATTCAGTATAGCTCCTCTCCCGTAGACTCGTCGAACCTGTGTTCATCTTGACTAAACATGCGGAATTTAAACGTACAAGTTTAAACAATGGTCGACGCACCTATTACAAGCATTCCCATGGTGTACGCTTTCTCACATCGACGCGTACAACTCTCCTTTAATCGTTCTTATAAATCCTACAACTCCTTCTCATACTATTTCAGACAAGCTGCCGAGCTAACTGAGAGAACATCGTCAGAACAAGCCGCCGCAATCAAGGAACCGCTTGGTGCAGTGAATAAACGATGGGATGGACTACTTCGAGGTTTGGTGGAGAGGCAGAGACTCTTGGAGAACGCATTATTACGCTTAGGACAATTCCAACATGCTCTAGATGAGTTGTTAGTATGGATAGAGAAGACAGACCTCACGTTGGACAACCTGAAAGCTGTGGCTGGAGATCCACAAGTGATAGAAGTAGAATTAGCGAAATTAAAAGTACTTGTGAACGATATTCAAGCTCATCAAACAAGTGTCGACACCCTGAACGATGCTGGAAGACAATTAATCGAAGATGGAAAGGGAACAGCAGAAGCTTCGACAACAGCAGAGAAATTAGGCACGCTGAATCGTCGTTGGCGAGATTTGTTGCAACGTGCAGCTGATAGGCAACGAGAATTGGAAGATGCACTCAGGGAGGCTCAGTCCTTCACCGCTGAGATACAAGATCTTCTGTCTTGGCTTGGTGATGTAGATAATACTATAGTAGCTTCGAAACCTGTTGGAGGATTACCAGAGACAGCTTCGGAACAGTTAGAACGATTCATGGAAGTGTACAACGAACTCGAACAGAATCGTCCTAAGGTAGAGACTGTTCTTCAACAGGGACAGGAGTACTTGAAACGTGCAGACTCCAGCAGTGCAGGTGGATTGAACCACAATCTGAGAACCTTGAAACAACGATGGGACAACGTGACTGCTCGTGCCAGTGATAAGAAGATCAAGTTAGAAATTGCTCTTAAGGAGGCTACAGAGTTCCACGATGCACTCCAGGCGTTCGTCGATTGGTTAACTAACGCAGAAAAGATTCTGACTAATTTGAAACCAGTATCCAGGGTAATGGAGACTATTCTTGGTCAGATAGAGGAACATAAAGCGTTCCAGAAGGATGTTGGCGTCCATCGTGAGACTATGTTGAACCTGGACAAGAAGGGTACTCATCTAAAATACTTCTCGCAGAAACAGGACGTGATTCTAATCAAAAATTTGTTGATAAGCGTGCAACACAGGTGGGAGAGGGTAGTCTCTAAGTCTGCAGAGAGAACAAGAGCCTTGGATCATGGATACAAAGAAGCTAGAGAGTTCCATGATGCTTGGTCTAGTTTGATGAACTGGTTAGACGAGACAGAGAAGAATTTGGACGAGGTTGCTGGAGATGGTGGTCTTGGAGGAAACGATCCAGAGAAGATCAAAACTAGACTGAATAAACACCGTGAATTGCAGAAGGCTCTGAGTGCTAAACAAGGAACCTACGACGCCACCATGAAGAGTGGAAAATCATTGAAAGACAAAGCTCCCAAGTCAGACGAATTTGCACTGAAGGAATTGTTGAACGAGCTGAAGAACAAATGGACCACCATCTGTGGTAAATGCGTGGACAGGCAGAGGAAGCTTGAAGAAGCATTGTTATTCTCTGGACAGTTTAAGGATGCGATTCAGGCGTTACTGGAATGGCTCAGTAAATCTGAGAAACAACTGGCGAACACTGGACCGCTTCATGGTGATTTAGACACTGTAATGAATTTAGTGGAACAGCACAAGACCTTCGAAAAGGACTTACAATCTCGAGCCTCGCAGATGGAGTCTGTGATCAAAACTGGTCGCGAGCTCTTAGGCAAGGCTACACCGGATGATGCTTCTGCTATTGACTCTCAATTAGCTGAATTGAACAATCTTTGGGACACGGTAACTAGATTGTCCTCTGACAAGACTGAAAGATTGGAAGATGCCCTCAGAGAAGCTGAACGCCTGCACAAGGCTGTTCACGTGCTTCTAGAGTGGCTGAGTGACGCTGAGATGAAGTTGAGATTCGCTGGACAGTTGCCAGAAGACGAGCAAGAAAGTAGGAATCAATTGATGGAACACGAGAAGTTCTTGCGTGAATTACGTACTAAGGAGGTTGAGAAGGACCAAACTTTGGAGTTAGCTCATATGATTCTTGCTAAGGCTCATCCTGATGGAGCATTGGTTATCAAACATTGGATCACAATTATTCAGTCGAGATGGGAAGAGGTTGCCACTTGGGCGCAGCAGAGAAACCAGAGGTTGGAGAACCATATGCGAGGACTTCAAGTAAAAATCTAGTTATTTTATTTATTTTTTCTAATCCTTAATTCCTTCAGTATTTCATGTTTTTTTTTTTTTCAGGACCTCGACAATCTTTTAGAGGAATTATTGTCATGGCTAGAGGGCTTAGAGAACACTTTGAACGCTCTCGAGGCTGAACCTCTGCCAGACGATAAAGCCACCTTAGAAATGCTGATCGCAGATCACAGAGAATTCATGGAGAACACCAGTCGCAGACAGAACGAAGTCGATCGTGTTTGCAAGGCCAGACAGATCAAACCCACGAAAGACACGAAGAAGATATCGAAGGCTAAGTCACCTGCACCAACGTACGTTCACATTCTTTCTCACCCATTTATCTCTGGTCCCAAAATTCTTTTAGCGAGTACCAAAACGTGAAGATCGCCAAGGATTGCGCTCGTCGTAAATCATCTTTCGTTCGAGGTAGCCGGAATGAACGACACTCGCCTATCTGCTTCTCGAAATCTTGGTTCACACAACTAAAACGTACACTCTGTCTCTCTCTGTCTCTCTCTCTCCCTTTTCCATTCGATTTCGTTTGCGTGCGCTTTGTCGTTTGAAAAGTTACACTTGCCCGTGCATGTGTTGCGTTTGATACTCTACTCCAAGTTATTATTAGTTATTTTTTTTTATTTTTTTTTCTTATCTTCTGCGTGAATTTTTGATAACGATAGAGCGCTGACGTCCACGAGGACAACTGGGTCCGTGTTGAAAGGTGCGTTGTCAAGGTCCAATCGGTTCGTTTTATACAGTAGCAGCATGGAATGTGATAGAGTGTCTTGAGTCTGAGGAAACGAGTAAGAACGTTCAGTTGAAGCGCATCCGAGGCGTACAAGAATGGAGAACAGGTCTCTACGTACAAAAACAGTTCGCAATGTTAATTATTTTCTTTTTATTTGACATACAAGTTATAAAAAAAATGTAAATAATTTTCATAATTTTAAATAATATTGTATGAGGCCCATTCTCCTTTTCTTCCCCCTTTCCTCCATTCGCTCGATCCCGTAAGGAGACCGAAGATCGATCGCTGACTCGGGACTGAAGCGATTGGTTGCACGAGAAGCGCGAGTTCTATCGTGCGGCTGTTTAGTAGAAGTGTCGAGTGATGTGACGCATGTTCCTGTTTAGCCGAGCCAGCCCAGGTCGTGACAGAACACCCGATTCGTTGCCGCACATCGGCCCACGGTTCCCACCTAAAGGAAGGTTCGTCATTCCCATCCATACTTCGATCTTATATCTAATCAGCCCGTTGCTTTGCTTTCACGATTCCCCTAATACTTCTTCATTCTTCATCTTGTTTCTTTGCAGTTTCATTGAGGTTCAGTCGATCGTCATTGATCAACGAGATTCTCTATATAGTTCATTTTAAACTTTCGTTTTGTTTCTCTCTCTCTCTCTCTCTCTCTCTCTTAGATTTTTCCATCATTTCTCTTCTTCTTCTTCTTTTATCTGATAAGTTTCTCGAGGGTTGAAATTTTATGGTGATTGATTTCTTCGTTCATAAGCTTCCTTTGCTTCTCTCGCGCTTTATTTATACGATTTTTCACGATGGAAAGTGCTAACGAGATTGTCTGTTCGTCTATAGCAAAGGCGCTGAGCTGGAGTTCCGTAGCCCAAGGGTGAAACTTCTCTGGGACAGGTGGAGACATGTTTGGATGCTGGCGTGGGAGCGTCAACGTCGCCTGCAGGATAAGTATAATTACATCCAGGAGCTGGATCGTGTTGCTAACTTCAGCTGGGAAGACTGGCGTAAGAGGGTAGGTTTATTAAAGTACAAAAAGTCTACCATCACTCATAATTTACATTCTTCTGGTTCTACTAATATTACTCTTTCATTGTAGTTCTTGAAATTCATGAACCACAAGAAGTCCAGACTGACAGATCTCTTCAGGAAGATGGATAAGAACAACGACGGTCTGATTCCTCGTGAGGACTTCATTCAAGGAATCATGAACACCAGTAAATTCATTAATTACAAATAAAGTTGTAGAGAAAGGTTGAACATCGAAATGGACCATCGTAAACCTGATTTATTTCCATAGAATTCGAGACGTCAAGGTTGGAAATGGGAGCAGTTGCGGACTTGTTCGATCGTCATGGTGAAGGACTGATAGATTGGAAGGAGTTCATCGCTGCTTTGAGACCAGACTGGGAGGAACGTAGGACATATAACGATACCGATAAGATCCACGACGAAGTGAAACGATTGGTGATGCTTTGTACTTGTCGCCAGAAATTCCGCGTGTTCCAAGTTGGCGAAGGAAAATACAGGGTATAGGAGATGTCTTGGAATATATATTTTATTTTATAATACGAGAAACTTATACTTCTTTTCTTTTGTTTCCAGTTCGGAGACAGTCAGAAATTACGATTGGTTCGAATTCTACGATCGACCGTAATGGTACGAGTCGGTGGTGGATGGGTAGCCTTGGACGAATTTCTATTAAAAAATGACCCTTGCCGCGGTGAGTGTTTCTCCCATTTAATCTATCTCTTTTTCTTTCTCTCTACTCCGTTACCGTCGAATTATACCGCCAAAATCGATGTGTTCGGGATTTATGTATTTTTCTTTTTCCTTTTTTTTTTGTTTTATTATATAACAACGAGTCTTTACAAACAGAACTTTCAAACTTCCCTAAGACCGTTCCGTCTCGTCCCTGTCTGCCTTTGAACGCGACACAGATTAGACGGATTCTCGAATATAAAAACGAATAATCTTTCACTATTCCCCCTGAGCCCCTTGTCCCCATCCAAAGAGGCAGCTAAAACGCGTTTATGTTTCTTTACCGTCTAGACACGCGTGTGGGATTGAATTTGATACGTTTTACTTTTTGGAAATATTTTCACTAACGTTGTGTGCTTTTTACCTTTACGTTTTTTTTTTTTTCGATCCCTTTTACTAAAACAAATATTTTCGAAAGAGAATCGAACTCGATCGCTTTCCGCTGCCTCGGAAATAAATGTTTGCTCGTACAATAACGCGTTCATTGATAAAAATAAAATAATCTTCTAACAAAGAAAGTAGAGTATAATACTAAACAAAGAAGAACGAAGAAGATCATTCATTAAATTGTGTCTCACTAACGAACCCTCATTAATTCCCGCGCGATCATAATTCATTTTTATCTCTTCATGTGTCGCATTTTTGTTGCTGCTATATACATATATACATTTATTATACGTGTACGATCTCAGCTCCTGAGGTACAAAGTGTGAGCGTGACTAATCATTAACAGACTCTAGAACGAGTTTATTTAACACCGTGTACATGAGCAGAAGATGAAGAAGCGTGCGCTCGTTTTTTTTTACTAGCGATCTCCGCTTCGCATAATGTCTTTTTTTTTTAACCTGCGTACTCTGGCTAGGTTTTCATTTTTCAGCTTGTGGTCACTAACTGTAAACGATTCTTCGTTCCACGAATTATAAACCCCCTGACTGTTCTTTACTTATTCGTTTTTTTACAAATTTTTGCCCCTTAGCAGTTTTGTTTGGATTTTATTGCAATGAGTTACGCATGATCGAATTCGTGGAACGCGATCGTTTTCTCCATTACCATAGCGATCATAGTGTATCTTGGTTACATTAGGAGACTCCGTAATCGCTTGTTCATTAGTATGTTACTAACGTCGATCATCTTCTGCCAATCCCTTGGCGCCCTGTTCCCCCTTCTTAATGAATAATTAACAATATGCTCCATCTCCATCCATCAATACATCTTGTCACTTCATTCTTTTTTTTTCATATATTGCGCACAACTTTATTGACATAACCTATTCTTCGACATGATTACGTGTATTTACATTCTTAATTGCGCATCGAGTTTATTGAATATTGCATGCTTTCGAATATTTTATAAAACAAACAATAAAATATGGAAAGAAACGGACCAACTAAACTCCTCATATCGTGATTAACTCGTCAAGTTTTTCTAATGCCGATACCGGACCCTAACAAACCGGAACAACATGAGGGTTGGTGTCCGCTCGGTGAGAATCTTTTTATATGGGAATAATTGATACTCGTGGTCCGTACGTTTCACTATTATAGGGGAAAAGAGATCATTTTTTTAACATTTTTTTATTCACAGATAAAAATTGTACATTCAGAAGAATGATTTTTTTGTAATATTTTTTTATTTACCAAAAAAGCTGTTTCTCACATCGTACTGGCCACGAAATGAACGTTTTCGTATATCCTGCATGAATACGTATCTTGTACGTGTACATACGTTTGCTTCCTCGCAACGAGTTCGACTTCTTATTGTGTGTATACTTAGTGTTCGTGTTTCCCGCGTTTGTCATGCAAAAGTGTCGCGCGTGTGTGTGTGTGTGTGTGTGGTGTGTAAAATGGCATGCAACATGGTGATTCTGTGTTTGAGATTGCTCTAACCGAAAATCTTGGAATCGTTCTCGCGTTTACCTCGTTGAAATTAGTACCGTCTTAACCTATCTCAATCATTTTACCCCCTTTCACTATACGCAGGAACGACGAGATCCATTTCCTGGACGTCGATCCACTTTTTACCCGATAAACGTTCCCCCGTTTGTCAAAGTATCACTTTAACCGCGTCGTCTGGCCCTTATTTGAACGTCGACGTCGATAGTCAACTTTTCCCGCCTTATTTACTTGCTAACTTTAATTGAATTTCAGTACAGAGTAAATATAGACACTGAACATTGATACTTGAGAACTTCTAGGCACTTTGAGATTGATCAAATAACCGACTTTCGACTTCGACGACGTTAGCATGCCATCCTACGTGTCACTCAAATATTTTTCAACGGTTTAATATTAATGGGAAGCCATATTTAACTTCTCGCAATTGCGTTTCGAAACGTTAATTATTTTGTTACTACCCTTGACTATTTATTCAAACGCCCCCCAAAAGAATTACCGAACGAACATTATCTAAAACACACTGTATTTTTTTTCTTTTTTGTTCCACTTGTACACTCGCACATGACATACCGCGTGCGCCGCCTACCATCGCCTGTCGCAACTATATTATAACCGCTACTGTCGCTACTATATTACCTTCTCGCTATTACTGCTACAACTACCTGTACATTCTCTACTCTATCTCTTCTCCAACTTTCTCTCTGCACAACACTTGACCACAACACCATTATACAATTAAAAAAAACCACACACACATATTATTCAATTAACCAAACCGGCTATTTTTCGCTGTTGATTACGCGCATGACTACTCGATAACGCCGCTGTAAAATGCGTAACATTACCTGGTCGCTTCACGTACTACTGTATATTGTATATCTTTGATCGCTCTGATTTGTACCTTGTACCCTCTATACTATATCTGCCCGTTAATTTATCTCTCTGCGCTCTCTCTCTGTCTGTTTCTCTCTCTCTATCTGACTATCTCTGTCTGTATAAAAAAAAACAATTTT